TTCTGTCCTAAGCAGATCCTTTTAGCTCTACGAATGCCTACAAGCTTTCATCTTCTCCCCAGTTTGTCGATCACTGATGAGAGTCTGCAGCAGTAGCCTGTTAGAAATGCTTTCAGTGACACGTGCACCAAGTCTCTGAACCATACAGATCTTGTTCCTTACGGTGAGTGCAGCAAATTTCCATACTGACTGCAGAGAAACGAATGTTTTCATGATCCTACTTTTCATTTTCTCACCTGTGTCAATGCCTGTAGCTTAAACGGTTCTGCCTAAATAAGTGAAAGAGCTGACCTGATTTAGACTGCTCCCAACGATATTGAATGATGGTTTTTGTTATTAGGTACCTTCATCACCTCTGTGTTCTCAACATCCACTTGGAATCTTGCTTTGGTTACCTCTTCTGCTAGTTTGTTGGTTTTCGCCTGCAGACCGAGTTTAAATGGCATTCAGCACAAATCAAGTCTTCTTATCGGTCCAACGTATTACTCTGTTATTGCTTCCAGCGATTTGTCACACATTCCAGTGCACAACAGTCAGAAACATCATGGGTGATAACCCGCAGGCTTATCCTACTCCTGTATTCCCTTCAAAAGCTTTGGTGAGCTTTAACGCCATCATTCAGCTGTTGAATGAGGTTATTAAGTGTTTGGAGTACTCTATAGTTTTGGAGCAGTTTCCAAATTACTTCACTGTTAACCCTGTCGAAGGCATTTTCAAAGTCGATGGAACTGAGTTAGAGACTTGACTGCTATTCTATGCTGTTCCATGATTATGTGTGGCGTTGCATTTTGATCCATAAGTGATTTATGTTTTTCTGTCCAGCTTGTTCTGGCAGATTTCAGCCTCCACACTACCTTTTATTCCCTTCAGGATGATGTGACTAAATATTTTCTCCCTTGGCCTAGGTGAATTTTATTCAAATCCCTCCCACCCTTTCTTATTTTCCATCTCCTTCGTACTTTTATGATATTTATTTAAACTCTGATTATCGTTCCACTTCACCTTTTAAGATTTGACCTTATTTATTTATACACTTATATACATATACTATCTTAGTTATTCTTATCACCTGCATAAACCTTATTATCAATATTTTGTTATCATTATAATCATCGTTATTAATTTCTTTCAAAACATTTTTTTTATTCCTTCACGTTCCCCAGTGGAACATAGGGCTCCAAGCTACAGGCTTGAAGTTTCTATAGCATTTTGTATTTTTACAGGATGGGGTTGCTAGCCTCATGCCCAACCTTTCCTCTTCACCAGCATTATTTCTGGCTTAGCGAGGTAAAGGATTGCGTCGGCCGGGGATCGAACCCCGGACCATATGCATGGTTGGTGAGCGTCCTAACCGCTATGCCACCGACGCTTTCAAAACATTTACCACATTATTATTAAGATTATTATTCGATTCCCAAAATCACCGTCATTAGTTAAAATTTTATATATAAATCTATGTAAATTAGAGTAAAGCCTGAAGAAGATCTAATTGAAAACAATATTGTTCGCTTATATGTCTTGTTCTAAATATTTTCATTGGAATGGATAGTATGCTATTTATAAATTCATACGCCAATCTACTTTTTCGATGTTTTACGTACCATCGATAATTCTGAGCTTTGACTTAATCTTCTTCTTTACAAATTCCATAGGCAATACAGTACCAGCATAGCGTGACAGTTTATCAGTAAGATTCTGAAACTCAACAACCAAAGCGAGATGTTAGTTACATCGGTGAATGACAAAGCTATCTGCTGAATATTGCATTATTAGTTATTTAATTATCGTGCTTCGCCATCTGATTTCTCCTAATCTTTTCCCATGAAAGTTAGCCTTCAAAATATCGTCTATGTGAATATAAGTATACACCTTGAACACAAATCACATAGGTGAATTTTCCATTCAATTTATTTGAAATGTTTTTTTTTATTGGACAGTCACTGAATTTCCATGCAACACAATGAATGCGTCATACCTTCTCTCATTCTTGTTGTTTTAACCTTTCACTTATGTCTTTGAGCCACAAAATGCACTGAAGCACATTTTTGATTAGTTCTCAAAGTACCGATGCATATTTCTTGGAGACTAAGGAAAACTATCATCAAAGAATTAGTTTATCCTTAAGATCGAATAGCTCTGCTTCACATGGTATATTCACTATAGGTTGTTGTTTTACTTGAAGATCCTGAGTGAAGAGAAAATTTCATGCAATAAATTACACTGGGAATTCTGTACACTGTGTGAAGATTTTTTTCAGAATAAAGCTATTATTATTATTATAATATTACCATAAACTATATTTTTATATTGAACAGTTATGAGTAATCTAGTCAAATAAGTAGTTTATATTTTTTCGCTAAAAAAATTCCTGAAAGTATCAAAGCCTACTACCCATACGAAAATCCAATAATCAACTGTGTTGAATACAGTGTGTTTTAAACAAAAATTTGAAGATGGAGTATTTCGTTTTTATGCTGTATGATCAATGAACAGTCGCCAGCCACATGAGAGATCGTGGATCTGTTTCAAACCGGTGTACTGCTAAATCTCGTTTAGTTTACTTGTCTGTAGTTAACTTGGAAAAGATGAATATGAGCCTTTCAATCTCACTAGGCAAAAACAACACTATTGATACTCAAAGATGAAAAGCCTAAATCCTTTTGCCTCGCTTAGAACTCAAATAAAGAAAGAAAAATGGATACCACACTGAAATGACTTAACTGTAATCAACGTCTTCCTTCAAATATTTGTAGTAATAATACACACAAAAGTTAGCATGATTCTGTTAATAGGTCTATGTGAATTTTAGAATTATGTGTTGGAACGGTCAGTATCAGCAAAGAATAAATACAACATACTCACTGATCGGTGATGAAAGTTTATCCATCATCACCATCGCTTTTGTAAACTGGAAATGACAACAGTCGAAGTATATGACGAATTTATTTGTGTTCTAAATCTCATTTAGTATAGTTTTATCCACTTCAGTGATAGAATTCGTAATACGTAAATCGTTTGATTTGTATATCAACAGAATAAATGAAGAATTTTATGATCACATCAAATAAAATCAACTTTGTAATAATTTACATACGGCAGTAACATAATGAAGTAATAGGATGACTTGTTTGAGAGTGAGTAACATAACTTTGTAGAGTTATTCATTAAACTATAACTATAAACACAACAAGATTATTAGTAACATCCTAATATATTTACTAGAAATCATGGTTAAATCACAAGGAAATGGAAATGATGGTGGGGCAGCGTCAGCAGATTACTCTTAATTTAGTATGTAATAACTGAAGGATTTGAACTGGAGGCTTCAGAAGTACTGCTCCACAGCTCTACCAGTGTGATTATGAAACAAAAGTTAGGTATCATTCATTAGCACAGTAACCAAGCATTACTCTCAATGAGAGCAGTTAAATGAGCACCTGTACATCATAACGCCAGACCTGTCATTTGAAAGCCACTGGTTCAAATCTTGCCACGTTCCAGAAATAAAAATGGGAGCAGTATGAAAATTGTCTGAGTAGAATAAGGAGAAACAATATGCCACAGACAACACGATAAGACAAATGAAGCCATGAAATCCACTAAGTCACTTCAATGACATCAAGAGATCCGAAGAAGTGCTTTTCAGCCAATCAATAAATATCAAAAGAATGGTTACTGAACAAAGAATACTCGTTTCGATAACTTCATCATCAGGCTCTACAGTTATATATACATAATAGTAGTGAATGAAACAGGCCATAAAGTCAGCGTTGAAGAATCCTTTTCTATCATCTACCGGGTGCCAAATAAATTGCCAAAAACACTGAAGTACCGCATGCAATTAAAACAACCCCTATATTTATTTTATATTTTTTTTTTTTTTTTTTTTTTTTTTTTTTTAATTTTTTTTTTTATATAATAATTTTTTTAATTTTTATTTATGTATTTATAAAATTAAAATTTTAACAATTATATAAGAAGCAATAATAATTATTTAAAATAATTTGTTTTACAGTTGTAATATCTTATTAATTTCAATTCTCTATTTCTCCCTCCCCCACATATAAAAAAATTTGGCGCGAAAACTTTAAAAATATTCTCCTATATTATAATTTTTTTTTTTAATTTGTGTAAACCAAATTTGAGATTTGGGCCGCCGGTTTCCCTTTTGACCTTTCACACACCCAGAACGCTTTTGAGAAAATTTGTTTCTTTGGGGTTAGGATCGTGAATTTATTTTAATTAAAGCGCCCCCAACACACCTTTGTGTGACCTTCCTGCTGGGAACCCACTGGAATATTTCAAAATTTGGAACTAAGCAGTAGCCATCAATGAGCTGGAGATGAATTTTGTGGGGATTTAGATGTTGATTCCTTCACCAACCACACTTTAGTGTTTCCACCGTAGAATAAGTAAACCATAAGCTACTGTTGCAATTATTCTAATACTTAACCATCGCTTATAAATAACAGCATAACCAACTGCTTCATTTTGGCGCGATTGCTTCAAGACAGATTTCATCACAAACTAACATTCCCAAAAAGATTTTTGAGATTCCTACAGAGTTGCACAGCTATTTCCTCATTGTTTGGCGTCCTTCAGCTGTGCACCTATGGTGACACATCAGAGAGCTTCCGTTTACGATGATAAAACGTTGCTACTCAACCAATGGGTCAGAGTCCATTGGACTATGAATTTTAACTTATGTCGATTGACAACACACCACTCCTACCATCTATATTGTAAGTAGATATCCATCCTTATACCAGATTTACTGGACCCTAAAGGTTACATATCCCACAAGAACTCTAGAGTATCCATCCCCTAGTCACCAAAACCTTTGCAAAGATACTTGAAGAGGATGTTTACAAAACCATTCGTCACCTTCACATACTTCTAAGCGATAATCTTATTTATGGGGTGAGTTTCTGCCACTTCATCCTTACGAAAATATATTTACTCTATTTAAATGACATGCATTCTATTCTATTCTTTTTTAGGCTGAAATTAATTCATTATGTGGTTGCAATGCTATTGAGTTTCCTTATCTAAATGAAAGTTTACCATTTTGCCTTGAACTGAGTTCATTTGTTAAAGAAGGCAATTGTGAAATCAATCCTTCTACATCACAAACGAGTATAATTCATAATTCAATTAGTAATCAATCATTATTGAATAATATTACATCATCATCAACAAAGGATAAAGACATTGATAGAATATCAAAACTACACTTGAATCCTGAATGCTTATCAGAACTTGAAGCTGTAAAAAATCGTGTACTATGTAAATCAGAAGTTACTAAACACTATCAAGTAAGAATTTTTATAACAACTTACTATATCCATTTATATTTACTTCAAAATAATGATTTGCTTCGATACAACTGCAAATGAAATCCCTGATAGTCTCCGTTTCAGGGAACTCATTGAGAACCTTCAAGGATACAGGCTGCTCATTTATTACTATACTTATTTTATTCCTTTGGGTTCCTAGTGTAATATAAGACTTCAAGCTTCAGCTGTGAAATTTCAATTGTAGTGTTGTATTTTACAGAGTGAGGTTGGTAGACTCACGCCTAACCTCCCCTCTTTACAAGGTTTACTACACGCTAAGTGTTAGGAGTGTGTTGGCCTTGAATGAACTGCCGGATCCCCTTTGTAGTTAGAGAGCATTCTAATAGTAAGCCACTGAAGAACACGCTGATCACAACATTTTAATTGATTAAATACGTCTGATAGAAATCCCAAAGGACTGAAGATTTATTTCTACTCAAAATCTGTGTACTTGAGCAAAACGTTTTACGACTTTTAGTTAGTTCAATTTCTAAGTAATAGGTAGATCTTAGCTCACAGAAAACACTTCACGGAAAACAATTACACTGCAGTATTCCTAACTCCGAAAAATGCATATCCACGAAACTATGTCAAAAAAGAAATCTAGCCTGAAAAACCAACAACCAATTGAAATTATTATTATTATTATTCCCTTGGGTTCCGAATGGAACATAGGGCTTCAACTAAACATCTCCACTTCGTTCTATTTTCTGCTATCCTCTTCAGCTGGCTCCACGATTGCCCATTATCACTCATGACCTCGTCCATTTCACCCTTGGACACACGCCCAACTTGTTGCCTCCCATTGACATTCCACTCGAGCGATGACCCGCATTGCGCGCGATGTCACTCGACAGTCTCCTCAATGTATGCCTGATCCAACTCCACTTCCTCCTACATATTTGTTGAGCAATCGGCTCTTGGTTTGTTTGTTCCCAGCCAGAGATTCTTGTTACTTATTCTTTCTGGCCATTTGATCTTCAGTATGGAGTCAGCCAGCAAGGAGGGCAGCTGTTGCTAAAAATCTTCACTGGCCTGTTGGAAATCCTTTTCGTGACACACAGTGCAAGTTTCTGACCCGTATAGAAGAACCAACTCGACACTGGTGTTGAAAATGAGAATCTCGTTCCTTAAGCTGAGTGCAGGAGATTTCCAAACTGGTTTCAGGTTGATGAAGGCGTATCTTGCCTTTCCAATTCTGGCTGACTGGCTTTGACATCTTCATCCGTTCCAACTGCCTGTGGTTGAAACCGTGCTTCCTGGCCAGATAAGTGAACGAAGTAACCTCTGTCAAATCTCCCTTCCTGATGACGACTGGTGCTGTTTGTTGCTGTCACTGTGGGTTGGTTATCTTCATCACCTCCGTCTTCTCCATGTTCACCTGGAGTCCTGTCTTCGCCGCCTGATTCTTCAGCCACTTTGTTGGTTTTCCTCTGTAAGCCTTCGAGTTTGTGTGACATTAGACATATATTGTCTGTGGAATCCAGATCTTCTAGTCTTCGTATCCGGTGGTCCAGAGTATTCCTGACTACTCACCACCGACGCACAATCTGACGCATAATCCAGTCCACCACGATTAAGAATATCACTGGCCAGCTTGTCTTACTCTTGTATTCACTTCGAACACCTCTTTGAGTTTTCCCTGGTGGATCACCTGACACGTGCCATTGTCATATATCCAACTGTTGAATGAGGTTGATAAAAACTTGAGGTACACCGTAGTGTTGTTTGCAAATTACTTCTCGGTCAACACTGTCTGTCGAAAGCCTTCTCGAAGTCGATGAAGTTGAGATGGAGGTTTGACTGCCATTGTGTGCTTTGTTCTGTGATGATGCGTAAAGATGCGATTTGACCAGCACATAATTTGCCTTTCCTGAATCCAACTTGTTTCGGGCTGGTGGAGTTCTGCATCCGGTGCATCTTTTATTCTTTCCAGGATGACGTGACTTAGTATTTTACTTGGCGTGGACAAGAGCATTATTCCACTCCAGTTGTTGCAGGGTGAGGCGCAAGTCACCCTTCTCTGGTAGCTTGACAAGGTAGCCAGTCTTTCTTCTAATCGGTAGGCACCTTTCCTTCTTTCCAAACCTTTTGCAGTAATGGCGTGAGAACACCTTCCGCAGTCTCTGGGTCCGTTTTCAGTGCTTCGGGAGTAATTCCATCTGTCCCTGCTGCCTTCCCGGACTTCAGTAGCTTGATCGAATTCAGAATTTCTGCTTTCGTTGTAAGATTGGTGTCCACTGGCAGTTCTGGGCGAGTTGCAGGTGATGGTCGAATTAGGAGTCCTTTAACGTGATCAGCCCATTGGCTTTTTGTTTCTCCTCCTTGGTGATCAGGTTCCCTTGAACATCTTTTATTGGCTTCATCATCTGGGTTGATCTCTTCCCGGATAGAGACCTGGTTATCTAATATGATATTCTGAGGTCTCTTTTACCTGCAGCCTGCCTGTTCTGCTTCAGTTGCCAACCAGTGTGTTGTAGAATTGTCTTGTGTCTATCCTGGCACTCTTCTTCACTTTTTCATTCAGTGCAGTGTAAATTGAAGTCAGCTTCTCCTTCTGTTGCCCATATTTGCATTGAGTCATCTTCTCTTTCACCATCCTAGCAAGCTAGTTAAATAGGCGAGGTTGACCAACTGAAAATCACTTTATAAAAGCACAACGGAAAATCGTCCTTGCATACCTGAAAAATATCTCCGATTTCTAGATATAATAGAGAAGATTTGTAGCTCAGGTGGATAATTTTGATATAGTTGTGTTATCTGAGCTGGATAATTGATTTGCGAAGCTTTCATTGCCCTACTAGGCAAAATCTTCAGGGCATACTTCAATTTGAAGTGAGCTTTTAGATTTCTTCACCAGTTTATAAATCATCCAGCTCAGAGAACACAACCACATTAAAACTCTCTCATATAACATAACATTGAGATGACACTATTAATCAAAGAAAACTCCCCTTTCAAATTGATAAGAAGAGTTTAAATTGGCTATCAATACTGGCCAATTTCAAGTCAAATCAATAAATTAAATGGAGGTATAACACCTTAGTCAGTAAACAGTGAATATTCACTAGAAACCATAGTGTTATACAGAAATGCCTATGGTGCTTCAAACGCAAAAGACTTAACTTTTACTTCAAACTTTTTGTTTTTATGCTGCATGTTTATCTATTCACAGTACGGATCACGAAGGAACCAAACATTTTTGATTGTAAAGAGGAATAGCTGAACTCTGTATTTCTGTTTTAGTGTCTAGGTTTTGCTGCGACAGGTTTGCGTGAAGTATTACTACGGTGCAACTCGGAAGGCCACTTTAGGAATAATTCTCTCCAGCTTGGTTCAATATTCGTCTTTATACTTTTCCCTTACATTTTTGCAGTACGTTCGAAGATGGTAGACAATATGTCATAGAGATGGTTTGTGCTACTTTAAAGAGAGTGGAAGATATTGATGAGAACATTTGCTTTAGAGAACTTTTACAAAAGACTGACTCTGATAAATTAGGTGACAACATTTAATACAGATGAAGGCTATTCTGATTGCCTATACAATTTAAATGAAATATACTCATCTAAAACTTTCCTTCACTCCATAGTGAAGAGTGAATGGTCAGAGACGATAAGTAGTGGGGAACTCTGGGAACGTAGCAACCAAGAGCTTATCACCCAACAAACATGTAAAAGGAAATGGAGATGGATTGGACGTACAATGAAGAGACTGTTGAGTTACACCACGCGATACAGAAAACCGTGGAGTAGAACCCGAATGGAAAATGACGAATTCAGTGTCCGATAATAACATGGAGGTGACTATGTGACGACAAAATAAAGGTAGCTAGCTAAAAATGACAGCGAGAACAGAGTCGAAAGCAGGTGTGCTGTTGAAGCCCTATGTCCCACTCTGAATCCAAGAGAATGAAAATAACCCAATTAAATTACAGTTGAAAAATATTGCCATTAGGCCAAAACAAATCAGATTTATTATTGCGATATGTCAACAACGAAAATAAAACGGTGATGCACAGTGTACACTCGCATCAAAATAATGCGAGCATAACTGGACCTATTGTAGGTATCGACATCTCTTAAGCTAAAAGCTGCCGCTAAAGTATATATATATATATTATTTGATTGCAAACATTCACTTTCATTTCAGATATCATGCTCAACACAAAACCTAGAAGTGCACTATGCAGTTGGTGGATAGAGCAGGCTTTGTAGTTTAACAAAAAGGTTGAGAAAAAACGAATGAACCCGAATGCTAGATTTATCACAGTATAATGAGAGATCTACAACATTGCTTGTGATATTTTTTTTAGTAACCTTTAATATGTAGATACTAACCAACAAACATAATTTTTAATTTTTATCACGGATTAACATCAGTTAGAGCACCGTTGAAAAACTGTGAATACTGGGGAGCCGTTTTGCCTAGTTTGAGACTCTTCATCAATGCACACTCATAACCCCATAGAGCATCGAACACAGGACCTTAAAGTTATAAGACCAATTTGCTGACCATTCAAACATTGGAAAAGAATCCAGTAGCTGAATGGTCATTCTAAGTAAGCAATTTCTAAAAATTACTGATTTAAATAAACAAGTGAAATGCTTTAATTTTCCTGCATAAATATTCACAGGGTGATGTGGTTCTATCCTGCACACTGCCATGTGCTTTCTTCGCTTATGAAACTGACAGATCAACATCAACTTGGCCAACAAAATCATGGCAGTTCAGTTGGTTATCAACACGAGCTGGTAGAAAAGTAGCCAGTCGACCGGATTTAGCTGGCTATCGGTTGGCTAAGCAAAAACTGGAAGTTCCAGGCGGTGAGAAAGAAGCCCAAGAATTTTTATCAAAAAGCAATGTATTAGAAAGAAATTTGCTGGCAATTATGCTTATCCGACCAAATTTCAATGTGCATAGAGTAAGTTCCTTCAAGTGTATTTTGCAAGCATTTTAATCACTAAGCATCCGTATTAATTATAAACACTCAGAAAGTTAGGAGAAATAAGAAACGTTAATTCACAACTTAATGAATTAGGAATACAATGAATATCAATGGGCAATGGAATAATTCAGTTATCTATATCAAACTTTCCTTGCTTCCCACAAATCTTGGAGACTGTGGTAGAGTATAATTTATTGATAGGGTTAAATTTATTTGATAAAGTCATAGTTTTATGCATCATTATTTACTGAATACATTTTGAGTATAATTTATTACACATAACCATATCAGTACACTCACACATCTTTCAAACTTCATTATAAATTATTTAAATTAATCCCAGCGTGTTAAGAAAATCAAAACAAGATTTTTCTGAACGTTTCGCTGTATAAGCCACAGCTTCTTCAGCAGTGAATAAGAAAGAAGGGATAAACTTATCACCTATATGGCAAACTCTTATGAAGCAAGACAGATGAAAAAACAATAAACACTCTATGAGCCTCCATGACCCTTTAAAACATGTAGGATCATGTTTATCACATATGAATTCACGTATTTCCCATATGACAAATAACATACATACATCACACACACACTCATACAAAACTAATCTGTACAAAATTAACTATACAAGAGTGAACACAACAACAACTTGACATTAGTCATTACAAATATATGTGATGACTGCTTACATATTTTCTATTGGTAAAAATGTCCATAGACAAATGACCTTCAAATAAACTGACTTCAATTTATGTAAAAAATTTTGACTATATATTTTGATGATTAATAAAAATTCGAATGAATCTGCTGAAGAAGCTGTGGCTTACACAGCGAAACGTCCATAAAAATCTTGTTTTGATTTTCTTAACACGCTGGGAGTAATTTAAATAATTTATAATGAACCAATCTGACTCGGCGCTCAAATTATTCCAGGAAGTTCGTAACACCTACGACCTGGAAACCTATAATCTTTCAAACTTCGTTTATATACATGAGTAACAAATTGATTATGTATGTGCATGAACAAATAAAGATCAATGTAAAGTTCAATAGGTATGTGTGACATACATGATAGGAAGACAAAGTACATTCAAAAATCTGAATGCAATAAGGTTTGAAATAAGATCAGTTGTTGTCAGTGAAACGTTACCAGTAAATAATACTGTATAATACTATGTGACTATCAAATAAACTTACTCTGTGATGGGGGATTTCCACAAACCGCTTTAAATTTAGTCAAAACATCATAGGATCACCAGCTTATACACCGAAAACTACCACTACATCAATCAACAAACACATTCAAATGTTGATTTTTCAAGTATATAGAAAACAATTGTTGTGGTATATATTACTGATTAATATGAGCAGTTGGAAACTATTCATTCCAATCAGTAGCGCTTGCCAGCCAGCATGAAGTAATTTAAACACCGATTGTTTGAGGAAGGGCTAGTCAATGGTGTAATTTGTCTGATTCACCACAGAGAAGTAAATTATGTCACAACACTAACACACATTCTCAGCAGCACCAACAAAAATGCGATTAATACACTTTGTTTATTCACATTAATCGTAAGTGACCTAATTACTGACTAGCAGTTTTACGAGAGAATCCTATTGAAACTCGAAAAATAACCACTAAAAGAATCAAACAATTTTAATATCTATCTACAAACACAAAGAAATGCACCCCCACAAAACAAAATCATTATAAGGAAAACAAAAACAGAGAATAATAATATACAAGAATTCTCGATGGGTATAACAGAAACTGTATTTATCACTCTGCTGAATGCTTTTTGTTTTGCTAACTCCTCATAATGAAATAGACACAGGCTTGACCACGAGCTAACACCAGTTCGAGAACTATTTGAAAACTAGTTGTTTCGTCCTAGTTCGGGACTCTTCACAGTACGCATCCCACCGGAGCTCGAACCCAAGACCTTCAGATTATAAGGTGAACTCGTTGACCATTCAGCCATTGAGAGCCGGTCCAATGGCGCATGAATCCAAGCTTCTATCGATTCGCGATGCACAGAGCGCAACTGCCAGTCAGTGTCATAGGCGGGTAACCCTCCTCTCACCTGACTCGTTGGACCCCGCTAGTCGCAGCTTCTTACTAGAACCCCAAGTAACTTCCCGTATACAGCCAGTCGCTAGCGAGCATCAGATTAATTATCAAGTGTCCGTTTGCAGGAATTTGATTGGTTACAGGTTTACGGGCTCACCTTGTAACCAGAAAGTCCCGGGTCCGAACGCCGGTGGGTGAGTAAAGGGTCCGAACTAGTACGAAACAGCAGTCCAGTACCCCATGATTTTCGAATGGTTCTCTAACTGATAAATGGACATATATTTTAATTTGTACAGGACTTTTGATGTATAATTTAACCGCATAGATTATTTTAATTTACAGGTTGATGAGAAAGAAGTTCTTTCGCTCACAAGTTTACTATCTCAATCAGGTGGTTTACTCTCCATATGGATTGGTCTTAATATGATGTCCGTCATAGAAGTGGTAGAATTAATCATTCATCTTTTCAGAAAGTGTAGACATTTTTCAAAAACGAAACGACTACGTCAAAGTCAGAGAAGTCAAATACTGTGTGATACAGCACCGACACAACAGACGAATGCACACAGTGAGTTAGAAGTAGTAGCAGTAGAAGATAAAAGGTGTCCAGAAGTCAATAAAACTGAATACAACGGAAAAGAAAACAGGATTATAAACAATGGTCCCACACATGTATGCCCAAGAAGACGATCTCCAAGTGTTTCTGATCAAACAATGTCTACAAATCTGTTAAAATATTCACCTTAAATTTGACCCATATACATACCATTTCACACATTATACACATTTACGAGGTAACTGAACCTGTGTTAACACTTTTTTAGTAATAAAACATTCCATTCATACATAAAATAGAATTTTTAATTACAAACTTACCTACCAAAAATAATGTGAGAGACCAATCCAAATACGAATGAACAGACATAGAAAAAGTATCCGAAGTTGAATATATATTAGTAAAGATTAATTTCGAACCACAACATAGGAATTAACAGAATATAGCTAAACGTAGATGAGACAGTTAACACATCTGGCTCATTAGCTTAATCACTCAGCTTTCAGTCAATGGATTACAGGCTTGGGGCCAGCTCTATCTAATTCAGCCTGGACAACAAGTGGGTAGTATCACCAGCTCAAACACGATAAGTGTGGCTCTTAGTCTGTCACATGAAAAATCTCTTCCAGGTAATGCAACTTAAATACACAATAAACAAGAGATGAAATAATTACTTAGAGATGAATATTGAAATGCCCTACTTAATATAAACAAAACTAAGAAAACAAAACGTGGAAGTGTTATAACCAAGTGTTACTGATTTGTGGGATCATCTAAACTAGACTAGAATGCGCCTTCAAACACAACACTACGACCAAAGGATCACTTGAAAATATCTTCTATGCTGACATAGACAGAAAAATCAGAATGGAAAAAACGATGACCAGAACGACAACAGAAACCGCAACAACGTCTATGAGGGAACATACATGGTATGTCATATTTTACGAAATCTCAAAGAATTAAGCCATAAATAAATGGACCAAAACTGTCCAGTCTGGTTATCATGTCAGTATATGTATAAATCATGGCCTCATGACTAACAAGGAAACTTGTCCGTCCTTACAGGAAGAATACAACAAAACAAAACATCGAACTACAGGGAAACAAAAATGAACTAAGGGGTACCGAATGGAAACAAGTTTAGCATGTCGAAAGTATGAGAACCATAAAATAACAAAGAATGGAGAAAAACTTTCTTCATAAACTTTAGAATATTACTTAGGCTCTTAACTTATAATTCATTTTTCAGATGTATATAACACAATGAAATACATTTCTAAGGTCAAGGTTATAAAAGATAAATTCAACAATCAAACTGATATGATGTTAAATACTAAAAGAACACACAAACATACTCTGGTTTGCACCTTGTTCGTGAAAAGGGAAAACTTCCTGCAATATTACACACAGCTTAAAACTGTTGAAATGCATCGATAAAAACCTCTTGCGCATCTTCACAAGGAGGTTATCGTTTACGGACTTAGGGCTACTGATAAATTCTTTCATTCTTTTGCGTTTCGAATGGAACATAGAACTCCCGGCATTAAACTGTGAAGTCTCATTACCGGTGTTGTTTTTACGGAGGTGCGATCGCCAGCCTCACCCGTAACTTCCCCTCTTTTCCAGGTTTACTATTGACCAGTAAGCTAGGCGACGCGTAGAAGTGTGTCAGTTGGGAATCAAGACCAGAGTACGTGCATGGCTGGAGAGTATTCTACCCGTGAACCACCAACGCACCTGTAATAAGTGTTCCAGATTAAAGGGGTGGAAATTGTCTTTAACCCAGAGAGTACAATTTCAAAATTTAAAATGACCAACCTCCTTACTTCTTCGAATAATCAATTATTACTAGTAGCAAATAGGAGAGACAGTGGAAATCACTAATAACACTCCCAGCACTCTCATTGGTGGGACAATGTTCGTTAATCACAATACACATGACTCAAATGGAACGTAAAGCGAAGCTATGAGATGAAATGAATTATAAATAACAGAAGGTAACCAGTGTCCATTGAAATGAAAGTCATCTAACTATCATACATCCAGTTGATGCGTAACAATGTGACCAGAAACGGATAACAGTAGACAGTATTCCAATGAATGCCGTCATTTCTACTTTAAGAACTAGGCGCTCAAAAAATAGCTCATTCATTATATGTGTCGCCCCTACATGATGAACTTGGGCGGTAAACAAGGCTGACATTAGACGTAATGTTCAGTAGAAAAATGAAAAACGAGTGGGCAGGGACGAAGATCTTCACCAGGGTATCTAAGACGACGCACAACCTTTATTGAAGAGTAATGTTGAATAAAGCAGGATTCAGTTAGTCAAGAAACTTCAGACTGAAACTTATTATCAAGATCCTAATGACTGACCTCGGTCATTTACCGACGTATATGTAATCTCATTAGGATCCTCGAGATTACAGGAATCAATGGTCAGAGACTCTCGGTGCTACTTACAGTCAGGTATAAGTAGCATGTCAGCAAACGAATTCAGAAAAGTAACAATATGTTTTGTGCAGTGGTGAAAGCAATTAGAGAAGAGAACTTTGAGAACGTTAGAACACTGCGCAGAATACAACAAGCTATCAAGTGTGGTGATATTCGACCAATTTGCAAATGATGTGCAAATAAAGACTTAAGGATTTACACTAATGCAATTAACTACCGTTTCAATTAAAAAAGGAGAAGCGGGAATGTGAATTACTTTTTACAACTTCCCATCTCTGCCGTTAAGTGGCGAATCCCACAACTTTTATTTATTATTCACTTCATAACAACAAGCCTAATCAATTGTATGTACGTAACTGCTCCATAAATAATGTTATTATAACGAAATATGTTCGAAGACACTAAATTCTCTATTATTTTTACCCTTTTTGCATTGATAAGAAGAAACCTCTTACAAAATATCTTTACAGAAATTGTTTGCAAGTAAACTTGAATTACCACCACGGGAAAACAAACAAACAATGACTTAGGAGTAAAAATACAGGCAAATATATTAGTTGTAGTTTTGAATAATAGTGAAATATGTATGGAATTGAACAGCCTTCATAAAACAATGATCAACTTTATAGGTTGTAAAATAATTAAGTTCGATAACTAAAATGAAGGGAATGAAAATTATTACTTTGTCCAGAGCAAAGGAATTAAAGACTAATAATATCAGTTTTTCTGTGCAGATACGTTTTATTCAATACAAGGATCTAAAATGCTTTGAAGTAATTCATACACTTGTCTGACATTCGAGCGACAACACTTTACAGAATAACTATGGTAATACATAGTGAACATTTGCAAAGATAAGGATTAAAGTCAATTCCAAAATAATAATGAGGAATCTTGAGCTTAGGCAAACCTCATATTGTTTCATATGCACAATACAAACAATAAAGCTATGAAATAACATGGACGTGTTGTCATAGTGGGAGGTGGCAGACGCAAGCACTGAGTGGGTATTTAAGTAATTATTAAGAGTACTTGACGATAAAAATGAAGAAGACAACTCATGAAACCTATAAATACGTTAACAAAGCTTTTGCAAGTCATTCACAACTGGTAAGGTAATACGAAAGCTGGATAAAATCACGGGTTTTAAAAGAAATCCGCAAACAATTGAAGAAATTAAATAAGTTTCAAACTACGTTATGTTGGGAACACAGCGAAGATATTTTTGCGTATGAATCACTGGATTCAGTTGTTCAATTATGAATCTTGATCGGCTTTTCATTAGGAGCGTATCGAGGTCGTTTTGATGGTTTATGATCGATTCCTAACCATGGTCGACTTTCAGGAACACAGTACTGAGTAAAACTTTTGATTTGTACTAATGGGTCTTCTTCGTTTGGAATATAGGTACCTTCATTAGGAAAAATTACTGCGAATCGCCAGCGATCAAACTCTTTCTCAGGCACTTCCAGTCGTCTACGTATACGTTCACGAACAGCACTGTAATTCTCACCATCACGAATACGAACAGTGAACGGTACTCCAAATGTCTCTGTAAATGACTTGTCAAAATGAGAAACATACACAACAGTTTCACTTGGTTTTAAATTCAATTCATCTAAAGGAATCTCCTCTATACGAAGGCATTGTATGACAGATGTGCCTGCATACGCTTGTGGGAACGCTGCAGATTCTGGTATAAGTGAAAGTTTCTGTGATGGTGGGTACTCTTGTATAATCCTATTACGAGAAACTTTGAGCAGACGAAGTTGTCCAGAGCCACCAGGGGGTAAAACCAAGTGACGAGCAGCTTCTTTGAGAAGATCCAAAACTAAGCCATTTTGAGGTACCGAGAGAATTAATTCTGCTTTCTCAGATAGTTTTTGGCCAACATATATCACTCGAACTTGACGCATAGTTTCAAGCTCATCAATTCGGATTGCTAGATGTGCGTAATAAACACGACGTGGAGGAGGAGACGTAACCGGTCCAAAAGGCGAACGGTTTACGGTTACAGCGCCACAAAAGCGATTAAGAGGCACGGGAAAACGATCTGGAGCGACTGCATTTCCACCGGCTCCTGACAGTGTATTTGCGCCACCAACCAAACCCACACCAACAGTACCAACTTCAGAAGCCCACGAATTATTCGGTGGTGCGACTGTAAATGGAAGGAAAAATTCTTGCAAAGTACCAGAATGCGAGGAGCTTATTGCAGCACCTGGAGGTTCTCTCGCCAGACCTTGAGCAGCCGCAGTGGCTACCAGTGAATTCAGGTAAGCTGAAGACGTAGGGAAACCTGAAAAGCAGATGTGAAAAAAGATCAGGTGGTACAAATTATTTTGATATCTGCAAAATTACTTAGTATACACAGTGATAGAAATCTCATGACGACACCAGCTGTACTTAAACTAGGTTACTATATATATATATATATATATATATATATATATATATATATATGAAGAGAGAGAGGGAGGGAGAAACTATATCCCATCATAGAAAGTTTTGTGCCTATATTAGCTGTCGGAAAAATTGTTCAGAAGTTAATAAAGTAATACTTACCAGACGATTTTGCAGTTAATAGATGAGGATTGATAAGTGTTCCTGAAGCGCCTCCAACAGTAGCACTCTCCGTCAAAGATGCATTGTTTGGACCACAAGTGTTATTTGCAGTCTCTGAACTGACAGGTGGGGATGCAAGTTCGTTTCCAGTCCCTGTATTGACAGGAGAAACATAAATTGGGGCGCTGACAGCATCCGCTGCACTTCCAAATCCTTGCTGGGAACGGAAAAACTGAAGTCGATTACTTTGTGTTGATAGGCAGGCGGCAGCGATATTAGCGAACTCCCAATACGTAAGATCTGCTGATACGTGAATGAGTATACCAGCATCATAAGGCCGAAGTTTATCTACCAGTAGTATTTCAAACTACAATGAGAGAAATAGATAAGTTTAGAGTGACATATTCAGAAAGAAACGGTATATTCATTGGATGAGAAAGTTCGCTTCACACTTACAACAACAACTCAGCAAGTATATATATATATATATATATATATATATATATTAGAACTACACGTATATGTTTCCAGAAATATCGGCTAATTCATCAGCTAGGCAGACTGGCTCAGAATTTTAAAAACTGATCGAAAATTAAAACACCAAAGCTATATATAAAAGTGATCAATATTCTAGTATTCAGTTTTCTTGTGTTATAATGTATTATTTTAGGTTATGAGTAATTTATAAAATAAGAGTTTCACGTACAACTCCCATATTACCATGACCTTAGATTTAACACATTCATTATACAAAGTGACTCACTATTCACGAAAAATTGACTATCACGTGGTTGTTTAACAAAATGAACCTTCGTAAAATTATTATCAACACCAACCGGAATACAGTGTGTTGAAACAACTATGCACTGATTAACACAACCCTGTGATTACATACTGAATACAATTAAAAACCATTAAGCACTTACCGTTACCATTTTTTATTAAAGAACCAATTTGGCAGTTTAGTGTTAAGTAGCTGAACACACACTTCGCTAATTTCGTGGGAAAAATACAGTCAATTTACACAAAGTGTTCGTAATGTGTTGTGTACTTAACTAGAGGACTTCGCAACAAATATATCCGGTAATTAATAATCTAATTGTGTCAGTAGAAATTAATCAAAATATCTTTTGACACGTAGAATCCAATCTCCTTGTCAAATTTCCAATGACACTTTTAAACAAAACTTTAAAGTTATATAATCTCATCACTTTACCCGGTTACTTAATTACAAATTACGTGTGTATTTACATGGTTCAAATACTATTATTCACTCGTGAAACAACAAGCACAATTAATCTAACTCGAAATATCATCAAGTAAATCAGGCTGTATCCCTATGTACTGCATTAAACAAGAAAAGTCAATGTGGGGTTATAGACTTGTCATGTTTTATTCGGATACTAAGAGTATCCTTTAAAAAACTACAGTTTCGATCATTCAAGACTATCAGAGAACAGAATAATGAATAAGCCTAGCTCAATTACAATCATTATTATTATTATTATTATGTTTATGCAAAACTTAAAATATTAAGAACAGATAGCTAACCTGACGTAAATAACTGCTGAAGTAATCAAAAATCGATAGCTTTTCGGCTGATAACGTTGACTGTGTCTGTAAATCTACCATCATTGGTTGACCAGCTAGATTCATAGAAGATCGAGATCTATTACCAGACATTGCTGGGAAAGTTGCTATTTTATGCAAAGTAATAGAGTCAATCCCCGACCGTGAAACAACACAACTAGTCTCTGATGTATGTCTGTTAGCGTTTGCATTACCGCTTACATTATCCTCAATTGTATGAGGAACAGTAACTACTCCATTAACTCCGATAGTCTGACCATTATCTGGAAGTAAATAACTCTCTACAGTTAAATTGCTTGCAGCAGAAGTTGAAATATTTCCTTCATCAGCCAAACTGCTCAAAGCTTCTTTGCCAACTTCAGTCGTCTCCATCAAGCCAAAAGGTAAAGGGATAGAACAATTGATTGATCTAGCCTGTATAAACAGAATATTGAAAATGTCATCGAAAATACAAGGAACCTGAATTTGAAGTGCACATCATATGTACACTTTGTAAGTAAATATTTATAAAATATTTTTGCAAATGATGACAAAAAATAAAACAGTTCATTAAATCTTGAATAAAATGAAACGAAAAGAAGCATTACACATTGATGTAAGTACGCTTTTTTACCTGTTACTGTAGCCAGATACCAAACTATGCTAGACTGTGCTAGGTTAGCTATTAATCATCCAGGAAGTATAGACGAAAAAAAGGTGCAATCACAAGACCCCGCGAAGATAGAGGGATGAAGTCGCTTGTGGCTTAAAAGTGTCCTGCTAACAAACACTACAGGTCTGTGAGTTCCTTGAAACTGTTGACACCCGTTGACCGATTCCAGTGAATAGAAAGTAAGGAGGTCTACTTAAATCACTTAGGTACCGAAATTTCCATTCATCACAATGCTTAAACTCTTCTGCATTTATTGTTTTAATCATGCAACTATATCTATTGGTTACTAAATGAACTTGCGCAAATTTTTAACTAGCTTTCAACAAAATTCTGCACAGTTCTTGGAGGAAATGAAGGAAAAATATCAGAGACTTGGTTTTTTCTTCGTAAAAAATAACACTGCTCAACATTTTATACTGTAGATTATTGTTTTACTTATAAATCCTGTACGAAGATGAAATATTCTGCATATAAATACGCTGAGAATTTCTGCACTATTTGTTAACATATTGTCTGAAATAAATATTTATTATTAATAGTTTAAAAGGTATGACAATCTGTACGATGCTCTTACGCACAGAACGAATCGAGGTTTACACAAGGATAGTGAGGCTGGAATGGAAGCAGCGGTCAGAGGCTGTCTCAGATCATTGGAAACACTGGCAGCAAGTGACAAATGGTACACTCGATTTAACTATCGGAGCGGAAACTCGTTTGAGTATCCCACTAAAGTGGAGAGAGGTGATTATTGCACCCATCTTTAAAAAGCGTCTACGTACACAGGGCAGTCATCGGTGCATTAGGTTATTGTCAAAAGTGTCGGGATTAACACACCTCATATAACACTTTTGATACTGATTTGCAAGGTGCTAATTGGTCTTCATTCAGTTTGTGCATTTACCGACCGCTACTCAATTGTTAGAATATTATAACGAGTATTGCGAGTCAAAAATCCGTTGTATTGCTTGATACTATAATAGCTTTCAGACTGTGACAGAACTGCTTCTGGATTAGTTTACTAGAGACATGTCATTGACGAAGTCAGGGATATCTTCAAAACCTACTCAAAAATATCGCAGGTGGCATGAGGGCATACAACCACCTATAACTAATGTTTTTTTCAATAGCGTTGACATCCCTATGTAAATGATTCTGTCGTTCTGTGGTGTATGCATGGAGATAGCGGTCATCTTTCGAAATATTATGTCATCACAGGACACCAGTTTCGGCTATTTAGACAAATGGTACGAATGTCATTCTATCTGATTCCATAACATTCACTGACTACTACAACAGTATTAAAAGGTTACGCTATGATAACTTTCGGTATGAATATACGATTTAGCTGAAAAATTGCACATTTTTGTCAATGGCATTCATTCAGTGGAAAATGTTATCGAAAACTAAACGTTAAATTCTTATGCTCATCTACTTCACGCTGCACAAGTTAAATAACAAAACTAACCAGAGAAAAACTGGATGAGTTAGGAATTAATGATTGTGGGATAAATGCAGATGCTCAATACTCTTACGGAAAGACCGATAATAAACACATTGGTCCTACTGAGGCTGATTTTAAGGACAAACAAAAATGATTACTTACATGGATTAACGAATAAAAGCACCTGATTAACATTACGTGATTAATACTCAACGTCTAATTGAGGAAAACGATACAGAGCTTGACACATTAAGTGTAATTAATACATTTTTTAAAATAATCAGCAATAGTAATTGCAAGTAAAAGCCACATGAACCATACTGTTACACCAATGTAATTTATAACAACGACAAGAAAAGCCAAATGAAGTAAGCAAAACATTTCAACTTTTTATCTACGAAGAGGTTCGATGCACTGTGTAATCAATGCAAATAACAATACGAACTCGAACGAGTTCTACTAACTGACTGAGTTTCAGCCTAGAACTGCGTGTGGAAGTGCAACAGTCCAAGTTGCCACATTCTATGTAGCACATTAAGGTAGGATAAAAAGAGCTTAAGACACTATGAGCAGAAATGCGAGGGAGAAAGAATGCTAACATGGAAAAACATGATGGTTTATTGTATATGAAATGCGTCGGTGGTACAGCGGTAGAATGCTTGCCAACCACGCATGTGATCTGGGCCGGTCGATGCACTCCTACACCTCACTAAGCCAGTGGTGAGATCGGTAAAGAAGGAAGGTTGGGCATGAGGCTAGCAACCCCACCCCGTAAAAATAAACACCACTGCTACTGAAACCTTGAAGCTCTAGCTTGAAGCCCCATTAGGAGCCAAAAGGAATAAAATAAATGATAACAAAATTAGTGGATATGGGAGATTACAAAGACTGAATGCATCTGCAACAGTTATTGAGAACGATTTTCACCCATATCACCAATAGTCTCCAGCATTCATTGGTTCCTACCATCCCTAGGACCCCCAACCAGGCAACCAATCTACACCTCCCAACGTGGCTCATAACAAGTGTCAGACACTTCATGGACTGATGAACCATTTGTATAGTAACGCGAAGATCTAGCACATGACACCTCTGGCTACGAGTTTACATATAACCCCAAGGAATCACATTCCTAAATAACCCAGCTTCTTCGATATACTGTTTTCAACTAATTATAAGATTTCCCTGTTTTACATAAATAAACCCACACATTTCTAAAAAACAATTATACAGATGAGTTCAACATACTTGGAAATAAAGAATCTGACCCTGGATTTCGCGTTTAAACATTTTCGATACTGGAATATCCATCTGGGGAATTTCGGAAACCAAAGTCTTTGCATCATCTTGATAAAAAGTTAATTTACAACTTGCAGGTAACCCAGCGCGTTCTCGAGCTATTGATTCAATCATTTTCAATGGTTCATCTCTGCGAATTTCCACATGACCACAAAATGTTAAAGTCCAAGTGAATGGGTCAAAGTATTTTAAGAAAAACAGATGCCGATCTGCGACAGCTTGTTCTTTATCTAATCGGGATATGGATGAATTGGTTGAAGAGTCAGACTGAACATAGAAGATAAGAGTATCCTTCATTGCACACAGAGGTTGGTTATCATTAAGTTCAATTAAATGAGTGGGCATATTTTTACGTCTAGTAGTTGAGACAAAATCAAATGAAAAATTAGTATTCTTAACACACACATTTAATTACATTTTCTAGCTTAAAATAAATACACATAAATGACTTGATGAAATCTAAATTAAATGTCACAGAAAAATAATCTATACACAAGTTTGTGCATAGTTTTTTAAGATACTACAAGTCATTTACAGAAAAGTTTCAACAGGAATAAAGACGGCATCAGGACTCACCGAGGTTGAAATCTCCATAAACGTATGCATTCAGGTTGATAATGCAACACACTGGCAACATCTTCTAACAACTTTGGACGAACAGTTTGTTTTTGAACACGTAGCATTCTACTAGGTAAAAATTCTTGACTACACAGATCTGGGCCCTAAAAATAAAGATAAGAAAGGGAAAAGACATGAATAGTGAACAGTTGAATGCCACAAATGTCAGAGAAATAAAATTATTGAAGATATTTAAGTTCAGTAAAAATTACCTGCCAACCGTAGAAATCCTCCTCAAGAATTAAATGGATAGCAGCATATAAATGAACTTTTTCCTTCTGTTTTCTCTTCGCCTCATCCATTCTTTGTTCATCCATAAATCGTTCACGCAATGTCTCTGGAATATCATTCTCCGAAAGAGGGCATAAAACATCATCTTTGGCTGATTCTGCAATATAAACCAGCATATAAGCATTTGTGCATAGGCGCATATCTGGGTCATCAGTGCCTCCGAAATTCTGTTCGAAATAAGTAAAACTATATTTATTAAATCGACAAATGAATACACATTGGCTAAATTATCAATATTTAATTCATTCAGTTAAACTGCGGTGAAAACTAGGTTAAGAAAAATCGAAAAGGAAACATCTATTCACATAGACTGCGGTACATAGTGTGTAGATGTGGCTTACTGGCTTAAGGACTCTTGAACCACCGCCCCTCCATCTACTTCAGTCTGGGCAACTGAGTAGTATTATCAGCCCTCACATAATCAGTATGGCTCATATCCCGGTAATGAGTAGATGAGTTCTAACTAACTGTAATCGTCTAAGGTACAATAATCTCTAAAATAATAAAATGTGAACACTGAAAAATTATTTTTAGTCAAATCAGTATCGAATTTAAATTTTTTTTTCCACTAAATGTTAGACTTTCAATCAACAATCGACACTCAGATATAGTTCAAAGTAACTACAAACGTCCTTTTCTGGAAAGATCGTTTACAAGGATAGATATGCTAAGTTGTAATATTAGGCTATAGCAGAATGCAGTGCCAGCATCCTCCTTCCCTGGGTAATATGGGTTGAATGTTTTCCATTATAGAAAAGTACAAAACTTAACACTTATCAAATTGATTAGTGGTGAAATACACAGGGTACTAAAGCCTGTACAATGACATACGATCTTCAGTTACTTGCAATGATTTGTGAGGAAATCTTTCTCGGACTGGGAAGTTAGTTTCAAGTGTGCATTCAGTCTGTGCGATCTCCAATACGTCAACTTCCTAGTACCATGGATAACACTGAATAGATCCCAGATGTCTGCATTGTGGTAAGAACCATATGCCTAGAAGTTAGACCCTAACTTCTTCTAATCTTATCCTATGCTTCAAAATCGTTCACTTAAAAAGACCGGAATGTGTGACACATCTCAACCACGTTAATCAATGAACATTCACGACCGACTCAATTGGTTCACCCTCCTTACTTAACACTATGTTTAACCACACAACGTATAAGTAGATAACAATCTCTGAAGGACTAGATTTTAGTGAAATTATGCTTTTTGGACCATAATTTCAGCAGTGCGTGAAAGAAATATTTCAATAACAAATCTCAACGTGTAACAGAATACGGCATATAAAAAACTTCAATGCATGTTTGACAAAAACCATCTCTATAAGTTATTCGACCATACGGTAGCAAAAATAACATAACTCACCATATCTATAGCATCACGAGGTGAGCAACGTGAAACAACGTCATCATCAAACTGATACCAAATACCATTTAAAGCCGGATTTATATACACAACATAATGACCACCATGATTATCACCAGAGTGTACAAGTACAGCGTGAAGTTTGTATGTAGATGGTTTAGGTTCCGCCAGATATTGATCTAGCTTTAGAATATATGGGAATTCGAAACGATCATTCAATTTAATATTTGTATCAGCAACGAAGTCATACTGGAATCTCATTAGTTGTAGATATAAAACCGGTGGAAATCGTGTAAATATAACACCCTTTTCTGCTTCCTGAAGTCCATAAGCACCAGCATCGTATTTATTGTCCTGAGAAAGAGTTTCTTTAGCAATGTATTCAGTGAAAGCGTCATAAACAGAACGGTTCCCATTTACCTTGAGTTGGATATCATAAAAATTCTCTTCTCTCTTGGAAGAATAAGGAACGTTGATGCAATTTATATAAGAAAGCATTTTCCCACAAAAAAGGCCAGGTATAACATCTTCAACTGATGTCCCCTTCATTTTGTTTTCTAAGTTGTCTAAAAGAACACGGCATAATTCTTGAGCATCGTGTTGCATAAATGAATCTAAAGTAGCCCAACCAAAGCTACGAGTTAGCTTTTTAGTGCCTACGGCACGACTGCTAAACTGTAACTCATAAAACACTCTCTGCAATGCTAGTGGTACACTAGTTTGAGCATCGTCACTTTCAGTGGGCATTAGGAAAACAGCACGTCTTAACTTATTAGTGCAATACAATGCCTGAAGAAGAGAATTCAAGTAGCAGGTAGCGCCCTGATTTTTTAAGCCGACAAATCCAGTATGGCGTTTTGAGTCCCAATCAGCACCATGAGGTGCATCAGCTTTGATATGAGCGCGTATAATAATAGTATCTTTTGGCTCAGTTGGAGATAAAAATCCTCTTTCAGGATTTAGCAACTCCTCATAACCAATAAACTGCTGAAATCCCCAATCATTCTCCTTGTGTGTGAAAGTGTGCTGAATTTTCATTTCTTTGCTTTTACAGTTAGGTTTCTGGGCAACTAACTGAATTGTTGCCTTAGCAGTACAGCTCCATGTTTGTGATTCACTATCTGCATTACATTGTACAAAAACGCCAATTGTTGCATGAACATCTGCAGGGTGAAAAATAACGAGTATTTTCCAAGGCAGGCATCGAATCATCCCTGATCCACCAAGCACCTAAAAATAAAAAATGCACTTCGACTATTAAAAGTCATACAAAATTAACTGTTTTTCAAAAAAAGTTACAGGGAACTCCTTAACAGAAGCGCCACTGAATACACATAATGTAAATGTTCTTGTTCAATCACAAGAAATATATTCGTATAACTTAGGGAAATAAGAGTCATTACCTACAGAAACAAGTGTGTTAGTGATTATCAGTAATCATTACAAGTTATGGATTTTAGCATTCCCATCAAGTTACATATATCACCTTTATGCTCACGATACTTATTGATAGTTCAGGTTACATGAAATGATAGGATATTGATTCAAAGCTGATAAGATCTCCAGTGATGGATAATTCGTATGATTGTGTTAGACACACAATTACACCCAAATACTCAATTATAATTTAGGTTTTAAGCACGGAAACGAAGGCCGTTAGCCATAAAAAAAGATCAATTTGTCGAAGTGAGCACTGTATTATGGATAGCGAAATATCTCGTCAACGTCATAAGTACTGCAGTTTAGTGAAACCCGGTCTATCAGCTCCCAACAGAATAAATGTAATGACTAACACATTCAAAGACTTCGCATAATAAGAAAAACGAGATATTATGAAAGTAATGATTTGTAAACAGCGATTTTTAGTGCAATAGCTGTAATTTTTTTACAAGGCAGCGCCTTCTTTCGGATGGCATTTATAATGATATAAAATGATAAGAGAATATCAGATCATTGAAAAATTCAAGTTCATCCATGAACAAAATGAACTTACACGAACATCCCCCCGTGCGGCTGCTTGCTGAAAATAGTTGAGAAAATTTTAAGAAAGTGAAACAATTAGTACAATAAATAAATTATTCTTAAGAAAAACACCAAGAATATCAAGCATTAGAGATATGAAACCTGATAAAACTTCATAAATAACTCCCCCATTAAGCCACTTAGGAAGCAAGTTTAGAAATTTAAGAGATAAAAGAATTGACTTTAGCAGTTACTTCGAAATAATTAACTAAACTTAGTTATACTCAGAGTAAATCTTAAGAAACAACTGCTGCAGTTACTGCAACTAGATTAAAGAATGTTTACAATTACAACACAAGCTGGTATTTTTGTACGACTGCAGTAAACTCATTACACCTGCACCATATAACTGAAGTGATATGTAGATGCAAAGAAGTAGATATTATACAGAATAAACTTAAAAATAGGTATAGTAATTACTTCTTTATATTGTTATCTTGTTATAATACAAATTCAGCACTGTAATACAGTATAATTCCATCATAGAATGCATTTGTTTGATAAAAGTACACAGCGACACATTATTACTTAATTACTGATGAAAATGTATTGTTCATAATCACATCAAGGCACTCACATAACTTTCAGACTTCGTTTATATTATTCCTTTATTCCTTATTGTTAGATTTCATGAGTAATTAAATTTTTCACATCTCTGATATTGGCACTGTGTTATTCCTACTGCACGTGTTATATGAAGATTCGATTAACAAATATTAAGTGATCACCTTCTCCCACCTACCTATATTACTTTATACAGTTGTAGCCCTGTCTCACCCTACTGTGTAATTGTGTGTAAATGTATGCATTGCGATTGCTCAGTTTATTCAACTTCTCATATGTATTGATTAATACTAGCAAATATTCTTGTGGTAATTTATCCCTTTCTTACTATCCACTTTTACAAAAACGCTTGTGTATAAATGCGATCGTACAGCTAAAGAAAATGAATTCGCCGTAAAGAGACTTTTCGTTGTACTTGTCTTGTTTTTATTAATGTTCGTGGGATTAATCACTCTACATTTAACTGAACTATCCTTCTGATAATCTAACTACCCCCGATCTACTGGTCTAATCTATGTAGTTGACTTCACAGTCATTGAAACGTAGTCTGTAGATTATACTGTTTGTCTAATTAGTCCAGTAGAGTCTTTTACTCTACAGAGCTTATCCTTGAGTGAGTTTCTAGGTTTAAATGCCATTCCAATTCCTGCTTTATTAAGAATCCCAAGTAGGGTTGCAAATATCCTCTCCTTGATATGATATGAACAATAAAAGGTGATGACTGAATAATACTGTATTAATGTGTGCTTTTATCAAAAATATTTATTCTATGGTGGAACTTTTTGATGTTACCCTAGTTTTTCCAAAGTTTCAAAACCACAACGGCTGTCTTAACATTTGGTAAAGAGTGAATTCTTACATTGCCAAAATATGGTTGAACAAATTTTGGATGAACCTAAAAGTTATATCCATGGAGCTATATACCACTAATGTCAAACATCTAGGAGATTGGATGCAATTATCCAGGAGCTTGACAAAAGTTTGGTAGATGGATTTTTCAGCAACAAATCTGTATCAAGATACAGTACTTTTATGTACTGAGACCTCAAAATTACATTTCGCCCACAGAGTGAACAAGAAGGGGATCTCATAAATGAGAACCCTTCTCGAAGACAATTAATAGCGATCTCGTTAATATGTATTGGTACAAAAATGCTAGTTGTCAACAATTTGGATATGTATGTATGTACGATTTTGAAATTCAAACAGAGGTGATACATAGAAATGAAAATGCGCAGTGATATTTTTCCAGAAAAGAGACAGTTAGTAAATCGTTTACCAAAACTCCAGTGTGAATATAACACATGCTACCCGGACAAGTTGAAATAAACCTACTTTGTGACGCAGAATGTTCTCAAAGACAGCTTCAATAACGCCTGAGGCTCTGGCTTCGTCATTCTCATCATATACATCTACAGAAGCATCCGTTTGCTCGCATGGATTCCCACAGCAACCCTTGGGTGCAGTATAAAGCCACGGTTGTTGCTCATCCTGTTAACCAAAATGAAAAAATAGAAAACTGGTTTCAATAAAAATTTCTGTAGAGCAAAACAATCAGTGAACTTTGCAGTTTTCAATTATAATAAAATGTTGGCAGGAATTGTCGTAGTCATATTCCTTTGAAGAAAACATACTACTTTATACATTAATCGCTTTTACAAGGATGTAATACTGCTAAATCTACTTTAAAAAAAATAGTCTTCTTGAGAAATTAGGTAATAACAAGTACTGGTGGACAGATCACTTCGAGGCATATCAAAAGAACTGGTTCCCAACTAACTATCGTGTGAATTTATTTATTACTATTAGGAAGTATACGCTTATCGTACGCTTTTTCTGCAGGTGATGAAAATAAACTATCTTCAGTAGCCTACAATAACAACAGCAATTTCTGTTCACTATAATTCAAGAGAAGAGGATTGTGTAGGACAATAGCTGAATGTTATCACTTGAGATTTTGTGGTGTTGCTTAGCAAATTTATGCTCTTTCGATTTTAATGGAAGTATCCGTCTACTATAAAGCAGTTTATTAAGGACTTTACTAAACTTTTAAGCAGTCTGATGGGTTAATTCAGCTAAACGGATGGAAACAACAACAAATTAGTAATGTAATGAAAAAACAGCAAGAATAAGCTTTCGATCGATCACCTGGCTTACATCTGAGGATGGGTCATGCTCAGAAGTATCGCTTAAAGGTTGCTCCACTTCCATTGCTTCTTCGTATTCCACCGCATCAAGACCTGTGTTACGATTATCAACATTCGCGTTTGTCTTCGGAGTGTTTGGGCTTAACTTCCCTTGTTTATGAGACATTCAGGAGGTCTTTGATTAACACTGGCGGTGCAGCAAGATAGTCTGAAATCGAAGTTAGCAAAAAGAAATATCCAGAAAAAGTATTAGTTCAAACAACAATTCAGGGTCCTGCAAGCTTCACTGAAAGATGACAAGATATGCTCTTTACTCAGACACTAGATTACTATTTCAAACCCTTTCCTGATTCGAGTAGCAACCTCTCACATAATAAAAGCGTATAACCTAATGTAGAAATTTGCCGTTACTGGCAGGAACATCGGGTGACGACTAGGATAGCATACACTTAAGTAGTAATTGTATCGTTATCACTATTCACCCTGTGGTTTTTCAGTTCTCCAGAACAGCCCTAGTATTCAACGTTGAATAGATAGCTTCGATAGCAGTTGTTTCTTAAACACTAAAAAGAAATCAGTCAATACGAAAGTAACGACAGGTGCAATCAATATGCAATATGATTCATGAACAAGAGCTTCAATACATTTTTACGAACTTATCTAGTGATTTGTGCACTCTAAAGAAAGTAACAAAAATCAGGTATTCACCCAAAAGCGAGAAACATGTCGATGAAAGCGGTACTCCTTTCTGTTTTCAATGTAATAATGTAAGGACTATGAATAATACATGTATGACTAACATCATAATGGGTAAGATTTTATTTTGATAAATCACAGTGTTGTACAGTTATATCAACTGATGACGTTTCGAGCACAAACTATTGCTCATAATCATATACTTGATATGATTATGAGCAATAGTTTGTGCTCGAAACGTCATCAGTTGATATAACTGTACAACACTGTGTGATTTATCAAAATGAAAACTTACCCATTATGGAGTTATACTCTACCACAGTGTCCAAGTTTTTACTTATATGACTAACATGTTAATGCAGGACTTTGATCATAAGTGTGTTTTACCTCCCGTGTTCAATGACATAATAAGGTGAGCAATTTTGAAGTTAGACATCAAGTGTTAGGTAAGGAGGGGAAATCAATTGACGAGGTGGTGAATTTACACCGATTGAGATGGTTAGGATATACGTTACGCATGCATGTTTAGCCATCGCCTTCCTTGACCAGCAGGCAATATTAGCTGACTGACATCGAATGGATCAGGTTGGAAAAGTCAGTAGTGGTCAAACCAAAACGTGGTTTCGTCAGTCAACGAAATCCACAACAGTTAGTTTAAGCCAGTCACGTCGGGAGATGTAGAGTTCCTTACTGGTTCGGGCCTTCGGGATGGTAAGAACCAATGAAGACTGAAGACTATTGGTGATTTGGGTGGAAATCGTTCTCAATGACTGGTGCGGATGCATTCACTCTTTGTGATTAATCATATCCAATAGAATTCTGTTGCTTTTCCACATTACTATTCTTTTCGCCTCATATTTCTGTTTATTATCTCTCTTTTGAATCTTTACTCTCTCCTCTTGCTTTGCGTGCTACATAGAGTATGGCAACTCGAACTGCTGCACATCTGTGCAAAGTTCCACGTTGAAACCAGTCAGTCAGTTGCAAAGAAGTGCATCAGTTGGTTGATACCCTTTGGAGCAGAGATAAAAGCAGATGGAAATGCAACAAAACTACAATGATAAATGTGAGGATAACGAAGATTAATTAGTATTTTCAGAACATGGGTGATGACGAGAATTGAACACACCCACGACACTATGCGAGATTAGAAACCATTTTCATTAAGTCTCCAATGACTGACTTTTAATATCCTAAAGAGCCCAAATACGCAGTCTACACCTTAACACGTGGTTTAAGCCGACAAAGACCTTATAGGTTTCTGTAATGCTTCGGTTTTTTGACTAAGTCAAAAATCACCTTTAGATCAAGAGATATGACAAGTGTTCCGGAATCTGTGGATTGGTGATCGATACCCCCGACCCGAAATAATATCTGTCTAATCTTCACTGGTTTGCTTGCGCAAGTTACAAATGCTCTTTGCAGAACTATGGGACCTGGAATCTTCAGTAACCATTTAAGCTGGTCCTTCTAATAAACCAGGATGATCACCAATCTTTGTTATTCAGATGCAACTATCTCAGAATCTCACGTTGCATATAACAAAACCACAATTCCTGCAAAGCAATATTCAAATGAATGTATTCTTATGTAGATAGTCTGAATAAATTAGTGCAGTCAATGTTTATTCGAAAAGCTTGCATTTTACCAGGAAGTAAGTATAAGTTTGATGACTTAATGAACAATATTTTATTTTTACGAGTTGATCACGGACTGATATCAGTTAGAGAACCATTGAAAACCAGGGAGTACTGGACAGCTGCTGTCTCATCCTAGTTTGGGAATCATCGGTAGTACGCACCCACTGGGATTCGAACCCAGGACCTTCCGGTTACAAGGCAAGCTCGTATACCATTCAGCCACTGGGACCCGATTCAATGGCTCATTTTATTGTCTTTCCGGCTGTTGTGACCTCGACAGAAAAAACCTAGATACACTTCCTGTAGTGGTTATGCATTGAAATTTTCTCAATGTAGTCAGGTTCATCTTTAGTGTCTTTTCTAACGCTGAATACCGAACTTGTAGGATCAATGGGATTTGGATATAACACGAGAAACGAGAAAAATCTAGGTCAGCACAATGTGAGATAAACAATCTCCTGCTGGAGTTTTAGAACTCGGGAAACTTCGAAGAGTGGACAGATATCGGCTATTAACATTTCCAAGAACTCAAGTCAGGAAATCTACATTTATCAACATTTATCAAACAACAGATGCACTACATGTATTACGATATCGTTTTTCTGCCCACAACTAAATAACAATCTAATCCTACCCCATCCATTATTCTTAGCCTTGCCATACACCTAGCTACACTTCTAAAAATAAAATTTGCGTCGTTTGCAGACTACAAATCTAATTTCGTAGGACATCAAAGTACCAGGTCAAAATGTGCAAAGGAAAGAACCTGAGACTCACCGGTTTAGTTATACATACAACAGAATAAGGCGCCTCCATGTTTCCCCAACAAGCAAAGGTAGAAATATCACGAGTGAAAACCGTATTTCTTTAAATTTACTCAGCTGTCTCAGTCAGAAAGAGCAGTGAGCCGTCGCACAGTACATTCGCTGAGCTAGTCACTTATCCCCAAAACAGAAATATTTCGAAAATGTCAACTTCCTTCTGAGTGACTTATCTAAGCTTAGTGTATACTAACATCATATTTCCACTCGAGATGTCTAGTGGCTTAAGCATCTGGATCAATGACTGGCTGGTTCATGAATAAATACTACGTGCGTATCTAGGTAAACGACAGTTTATGCCATGAAAATTACTGTACTGAATGGATTGCTTGCACATATTTTGTGATAATGGCAACAATGAACCCATCGAAACCTTACTTTGTGTAAATCAGTGTGTTTCTGTTAAATCGCTGTTTAAGTAGGCACGTGGTACAGAGATAACAGTTTTCGCACTTTTGTAGTCAAAGAATGTTAGGCAAATAAGCAGTCTGGAATAGTTCAATAATTTGGCAAGACACCAAAAATCTGACCAGTAGACCAACTGAGTACGGCGCTACAAATGATTTCCGTAGGTTTCAGATGTTATGTCAATAACAACTCCTTTTTATTAGGTTGGTCTACGTTTCGTTCAGCCAAAATTCTGGAGCGACTGGGACGACCGTTACGTGAATTCAATGATGTAGTCGGTGCCAAATCGTTGTAAAAATAGTCTAAGTTGGCGATGAGCTGATCTAAAAGCTATGACTTTGTAAAGAATGTAGAAAACAGCTGCACATTAATACTAGCCTGCAATTTCGATATTTATCTAATGAATGCTATTAATTTACCGCGGTTTACCGTTGTGAATCTCAACGTGCTCTCAAAAACAATAATGCACTTTTTAAATTACTTGGGCATCACAACACACAGGACAACAATTACACTTACCCCAGTGTGCTGGAATAAAAGACTGGAATAAAACTCCACGAAGTCTAGTAAATTCAAACCAAGCGCTCAACCCTACAGCATCGTCTAACCTAACAAATATCGTGGCATACTATCTTTTAACATACTACTAGCGATCTATTCATAGGCCTTTAGAGCCTGTAAAATAATCCAACATTTTCATGATGGTATTGACAATGGTATACACCTTCCCTTAGAAAATCTGCATCTTGTCTTTCTTAAGATTTCAATGTCTTCAACGTATTATGGCATTTCGCTATTCCAGCAACACATAATATGCTGTCTGGAATTCGAATGGAAATACTCAAATCAAGAAAAATCAGAATAATTTTGCCAAAGAATCGCCAAAATGAACACGCGTGCTTCGAATTTTCTCAGCCAATTGATTCTGACAGTAAGAAATCTTGAAGCAACTAATCTTCTCAATGTTCCAGGTCTTTTATATCTACTCCTCACCAATTTGGCCAGTGCGCTGTAAGTTCACCTGACTCGATACCCTTCCTTCTATACTCCTTCTAAATCTTTAGCATTACATCCCATTTCCCTCAACGGTAAATGTAGATTGCTAGATAAAGAACTATTTAATCAGAAAGCCCATGGTTGAATTACTAAACTCATGTTCTTACCAGAATCCTCGGGATATGCGAATTCCCTTCATGTCAAACTGATCTCAAAAATATCTGAGAAACTGTCGAATTATGGCTTATGATAACTCTTCAATCGTTTTGTGACGAAGGCTTCACTAAAGGGCTGTGAAAGCTGAATGATGATGCCAAAACTATTAAATTGTTTTCACAGAAAAAACAGTGGTGTCAATTCACCTGACCTTAATGAATACCCCAAATCTTGTCAGTGTGTCACTATCCTCACTGTCTGCAAAAAAAACAACTTGCTGTCGCAGGAGAATACGGGGATGCACTATTCTCTACTGATAAAAAGCTCACAGCGCTTGAGGTAACAAGGGCGAGACGTCAAGACTGAAAACGCTGCGAACACTGCTTAAAAGAATGATAACTGCTATACTTGGTATTCCTTCATTAAAGAAAGTGCTTCAGCTTTCCTAT